CGCGCGACCTCGGAATTATACCGGGCGCTGCGACGTTCCAACCGGTAGGTCTTGTAATTAACCGCTTCGGTGAATAAATCATTAAGCGGTTTAATCACAATCACCCTCTTGGTGGGGGCTAACCGTTCGGTAGTCGGACGACTTCTACCCGGTCGGCGTCCCTGGTCGTGCGGCTCGGGGTCTGTACTGTAGCCCTCGGAGCCAGGCCACTTGCGTCGGTGGCTACGGTCTCGCCGGCTGCCCGGGTGGCGCCGACCTTCGTCGCTGGTCGATTCAGGCGAGCTCCCGTCCGAGGGAAATTCACCTCCTCGACGACGGGCTCCAGCCCGAGACCTATAGGGACGGTAATCTTGCCGGACGGCTTTTCTGTCACCGTACGGTTCTTCTTCGGAGTACTCCTCCTCTTCCTCCGGTAATGGCCCGCGCCTTGAGCGTCGGGACTTGGGACCGTAACGGAAAGACGAGCGATTTTCTGTCTCGCCATACCTCGTCAGATTTTCTGTCTCATGGCGAGGGTGTCTTCCGTATCGGTCATAGGTCGCGGGGTCCTTGTCTGTCGGACCCCGTGTAACACCCTGAAATTCGGGCAGGTATATAGGTGGGTCCTCCGGGTGAGGGCCCGCCTCCGGGTGAGGGGCCATATATACCTGTGTCGGTCTTGTATCTCCCGTTCCGGTTCCTATTAATTTGAGAGGTGCCGTAGCGGTCGTAGGAGGTTGAGGTGCCTCAGCTACAGTACCGTTCGGGTTGAAGTTGGCCAGGCGAGCCTCGACAGCTATACTAATTGCTGTCTGGAGGCTCAGCCCCAACGGTGTAAGATGATCTCCAGGGTCGAGTGCCTCTCGGAGCTCACGCTCTACGAGGGCACCGACGACGTCGTCGATGACGGGCGTGACGACGCCCCGGACTTGTTCGTCAACAAGCGGCGGAACCGTTCGGTTAATCACACCCTCGACGTGGCGAGGAACCTCTTTAACGAGAGCTTCCTCCAGCCACGTCTGCATGCGCGGCCAGAGGGTATTTAATGCCCACTGGGAGCGGTGTTCGGTACCCGCTCGACCAGCGAGGGCCGGGACGGCCCCAGGGGCCGTCCCCTCCGTACTGGTTGGGTTCTGCCCTGTACCGGGTGTCACCCGTAGCAGTGACTCCGGATTTTCGACACGGGGGCGCACGGACCCGGGTGGTCCGCTGCGCGTACTCGCCCGAGCTGAGCGGGAGCGAGTACTGCCCCGTCCCGAACCGGAGTCTTCCGCAGGGGTTCCGGTCGGATTCATCTTGACTTCTTGCTTGAACCGGGGGTTGATACGTGTTTTTCAAATCGGATGTCTTCTTTCTTGAGCTCGACGGTGAGGGTCTAGAAACCCCAGGCACCCCTCCACAAGAGTACCAAAAAAGTGGTACAACCGTAGGGACGCTAAACCGTAAACGGAAAAGGACAGGCTGTACCTAAAATGAGGGAGCTTGGGGGACCGCTACACTAGAGCGTCAGGTAGAATAATCCGGAACCGTAGGAAGCACAGGACAAGGGAGGTACACCGCACTGGACACGCGCAGTCGTACTGGGGTGTAGAGCAGTACGACCGGTGGCGAGCTGGAAACCTGAGGGACTTACTTAACCGTACGGTAAAGGACTAGGGTAGGAAGTAAGGGGAGGCGTGCTTGCCTCGGTTTACCTCCAGCCCGGTGCCCCCCTATCTTATACCCCCTAGTAGGGCGGTGGCACGGGACGGAATACAGTAGCCGTACATACTGTAGCCAGCTTACTGTAGCTTACGGTAACTAAAAATGACTACTGTACTAACCCACCGATCGGTCGCGCATCACGTGTACACCTGCACTAGCTGGTGCCACTAACTACACGTGGAATCCCACGTGGCCACATCTACACGTGCTGGCCACGTATGCACCGTATCGGTTAACATCTTACTACTGTACTTGGCGAGGCCTCTGGCGCCCGCCTAGTCAGTAGCGCCACTTGGCAATTGTACCACATACTGCACGCCGGTGAGGCAGACCTGCCTCGTGAGAGCGGCGCTGGCGGTAGCTAGGAAAGCTTAGTGCGCACGGTTCGCAGCGGTAGACGAGGGCCCGACGGCGTGGAGGATTAGCTCGTCGATTAGCTCGCTGCGTTGCGACGCGATATATATGTAACGCACGACCGGTGTCGAGGTCAAATCCAGGGTCTGCGGGCGCGGAGGTGTCCTCGTCCGGGGCTTCGGTAGCCTCGATGTCCACCAGACGAGGCGCCTTGAAGAATGTAGAATGTGATGCGGTGGTTCCGCTGGCGGAGATCGGCGTGGTGACTGAACGGCGGGGAGGAGTAGTGGCCACGTGTTGTAGTTGTACTGTGGCGAAAGGCGTACTTGGCGGCGAGCGATTCGGCGGCGGTGATGTGGCGGCGGGGAGGGTAGATGGCGGCGAGCGAAACGGCGGCGCGGTTACGGTTGCCTTAATGCGAGCGGCGGCGGCGGCGATGCGGCGTTCTCGTATAACGTCGGGGTGATTGATAGGGCGCTTCAAACGTGCCATAAAATACTGCGCTGTTGCGCCAGGCGTACATTACGTAGTACTGTAGCCCAAATGTATAACGTTTACTATAAAACTATACAGTAGTATGTACAGAAAACGTTAGGGACAAAGTAGATTCTTGAAAAAAAATTCTTGATTTCCAATTCGGCGGAGTCGATAAGGCGGCCTTATTAACGATGCGCAAACAGCCTGAATCGACGGTGAAATAAGGCAGGTCTTATCTGCGGAGCGGGGCAGGACCAAATGGGGCGGTGGTCCCTTAAACTGATCAGTGTCGGGAGACCGACCGGGCGGGGCGGTCCGGAGAGGGTTTTGAGGGTGTGGCTCAAAAGGGGGTTAATTGGCGTTACCAGGTCAAAAGGGGACGCAGCAGGCTATTCCCTCGTAACTGCGGGAGCACACTGGGAAGGGACAAGGTTGTCGGGTAATTCGGGTTGGTTCAATGTGCTGAGGTCGAAGACGAGTAGCGTCTTCGACCTGGGTTTATAGTCCTATTGACTCTACAATAACAGTAGGCGCCCTACCATAAAAGGGAGGTTGCGCCACCCATGAAATGTCTCTAAACGGTTACACCCTGAACATGTAGAATTGTAGGTGGCACGTCCTTAAGGGACTCTATTGTTGATAGCTAAATGTAGCCTACATAGTTTAACCTGAATTGATAATGATAAGCTAATTAAAGTGATTACTCGTCTAGTCAGTAACTCTGACACTGGCGACCAGCTCATTGAGGGCATTCACCCAAATTATTTATTTCGCGACCGTTCCCTGTCTCCCCCTGGACCCCCTGCACTATCCTCCGGGGGTGGTCCTTTCGTATTCTCTCCTCCCGAAGAGAAGCTCTCTATCCCTGTCTCCCTCGCCTTCCGCTCGTCGTCCCTGTCTCTCTCTGCCCCGCCTGACACCTCCCCTTCTTCCCATTTCTTTCTCCACGCTCCGGTGGCGTCCACCACACCCCCTCGTCCGCATCTTCCGTCGGACTCTTGCAGTTTCGGTTCCCTATCATGGTTGCGCGCATTGCCAAGTAATCTATGACAAGTTGAGCTGATGGCAAACCAGATCACCCATCCACTCTGGTAGTCTACCACCTTTCAAGGCTGAACTGCACTGGTCAAGATATGCCGTGGCACTGAATTGAGAAGGCAGTGAATTGTGTGGAGGGATAAATCGAGCATGGAGGAGGTAGAAGTGGACGTGCGAAAGGGCAGGGGCCAGGTACTGTTTTTCATTGCAAACTAGCGCTCCCGACAGCCTTGCTAGTTCAGGGAAGGGGTTTTAATGCCGCTGGAAGAATAGTTAGAGAAGCTGAAAGGGGACCATTTTCTTGTTACAACTCCGTCTCTGCGCCACTCCTGTGAGCCTCTCCTCTCGTCCCGTGACGAGGAGACCGCGCGTCAACCTAAAGGCTTATTTGATCGACACGCATCCCCATTCTGCTTTTGTTTTTCTAACTTTCAGGGGGAGCCGATGCTATACAGTGAACCCTCGATATCTGATGGTTGCTTCCTTTCCGCATTCAATTAAATTGTATATTCAGTTTCCAAGGATGTTTCATATACAGCCCAAATATGTAACAATCCCATAATTTTTAACTAAAATATTGAGTAATGCGGGTCTGCTTGGCTTGGTTTGCGCGTTCGAGGTGTGTCCATTTTCGATTGCCCAGGAAAACTGGAAATTGAACCACATTTATAATGAATAAAGTTATCACAGCTCAGTTTTGTCTCATAGAATGCTCTTGTATGAGGCCTGTTATGATTAAGATGTGCTTGTGGTATTCAGTTAGGCCGTATTCATGAATACCTCATATGTGACCTGCAATCAACGCTCCGGAGCTCGTTCCGTGCAATGGCATGCACATATCGCGGATATTCACATAACAAGGATTCAGATAGCGAGGGTTCACTGTACCACAGGACGGGCTTCAAAGACTCACATTTGAGTGGGACATGATACGGCCGAGCCGTGATAAGGCATACTGGCCATTCCGGTTCGCAGTCCGGTTTTACACGTATCCACGTGCCGTTCCGCAACATCACAGTGCTGCTGTAAAGATTGGACACGTGTACATGTATGAAGACGTGTGAATTGATGACCGTCAGTCATTGATTCGTCTCAAGAGAAGCCAAGGTCGATCAGTGCTTGTCCATTTCGATTCCGTGTCCACGTGTATATTATAGATCTCACAGTGGGAAATGATGAAATTTCTCAAGGGTCGGGGCGCCGCCGGGTCTCGCAGTAAGCCCAACCAGGTAAGCCGCCGCGGCGCACATCGCATGTGGTCCTGATCCCACTCAATGCCTTTACATCGTAGAAAAGAACCGATTCAAAAATAGGAATAGCGGCGGTCCCCACCGATTGCTCTTCATCTGCCGTTTTGCTTGCAGCCCACATCCTTCCTTCCAACCCCCCCTTCGCCGAGGCGCTATTCACATGTGACCACAATGCCTTCGGCACGGACTCTGCGCGCGATGCGCAGGCTAGTGTCCCATCACCATGCCCTCACCACGCCTACCCCTACGGTCTCCTCTTCCTCGTCGTTGCAGGAGCGACTGCTCACGGCCGGTCCGCTCCAGCCCACTGGCACAGGCGGCGTCGAGCTCACCTTTCTAGGCTCCAGCTCGCAAGGTGGCGCACGCCGATACCCGAGCTCCATGGCCATGCGTCTGCGCGGCATGGCCTCCTCGGAGGTCTGGCTGTTCGATGCCGGTGAAGGCGCCCTCGCTCAGTTGCAGCGCTCGTCCATGAAAATTGGCCTTGTTCGCAACATCTTCATCACGCATCTGCACGGCGATCATTTGTACGGACTGCCAGGGCTTGTTCTGTCGGTGTTGAGATCGAGGTTGGGGGACCCTGTTGCCGATCTCAGCGCCGCATCGTCACGCCATGAAAAAACGCCCCCGCTTGATGTGTACGGGCCGCAAGGGATTCGAAGCTTTCTGAGAATGTCGCTCGGGGTGGCTGGCTTTTACATGCCGGAGAGGAATATTTTGAGAATTCATGAGCTCATGTGGCCGAAGGACTTCGGACCAAGGGGTAAGCGCAATCGCGGAAAGTTGGCGACGACGTACTGGACAACGCGTGTGAAGAGATTGCAGTACGAGGCTCTGGGAAGGGATATTGAACCAGTCATCACTGGAGATCAAATGCCGCAATATACGTACGACCTAATCAAGGGGGTGGACAGTGATCTACTGGAGGACACGGAAGGCAATGTGCGTTCGAGAAAGTGGGCGATGGAGGAGGGCCCTGCAAGCGTTGTAGCTGCTCCTGTTTTGCACACTGTGCCCACGTTCGCTTTCTCGATGACGGAGAATGTCGTTTCGAGACGGTTTGATAAGACCAAACTGCAGCAATTTGGCATCCCGGCCGACGGCAAAACCGTGCGACCGCTTTTTAGTAATTGGACAAACGGGAAGAGCGCCGAGTGGGGTGGAGTGGAGATCTCTCCTGAGGATGTCATGCAAGACGGACGCGCGCCTCGGCGAGTGTGCGTAGTTGGGGATACCTATGACGCAAATGGGGCGTCACATATTGCGCAGGGTGTAGATGTGCTGGTACATGAGGCGACAAATGTGGCTGCTCAAACAGCAATTGCCAAGGCACGGGGGCATTCTTCAACACTTGGGTCAACTGGTTTCGCGAAAAAAGTAGAGGCGAAGCGGTTAATTCTCAACCATACCAGTGTCGGATATAGTGAGCGAAAGATCAGAGAGATGGAGACGGAGGCGAGAGGGATGTTTGGGGCGAATAAGGCTTTTGTGGCAAGGGATTTGAGCGTGTTTAATGTGCCGACAAAGGAGGAGGACAGCGATGAATTCTTGTTTCGTAGATTCGTTGGCTTTGTTAATTCGCTCGAGTATAGCCGTCATCACGACAGCGGGGACAATCCTTTCCAGCAGGATGTGGTGGTAGACAATGGCGAGAACTACGAGGCAAGTCCGAGACTGCGGGATGACCGGGAGAAATTCGTGGATGAAAATGGAGAGGGTGAGGTGGATGGGGACATGAACATTGACGATGAGATTGATAGCGAGGTGGATGACGACTTGACTTTGGATTCTCTGGTCAGCGGCGATAGTGATGCAATCGGACACACGAAGAGCAGGCGAAAGGGTGAGAGTGCGAGTGAAGGTGTGCGACGGGGTGAATCGGTATTTGTCGGGGAGCTGAAAGAGTTGGGCGTCGAACTCCCAGGTCGAAAGGTTGGATATGGACGGTTTCAACGTGTTGTGGTATGAGAAGGAAATCGGGATGTGGAACGGGGAGGGATCCGGATGGGATGCTATGAAGCTTAATTTTTGTAAATATTTTAGTCTATCTCCGATGACAAATTGCCGACCGGCATGGACGCAACGTGTACGAATTTGGGGTCTAATTGGTGCCTTCGTGAGCAACTTTTTGGTTCGCCGACCGTGCCCATGCGGGAGATCTGCCCACCCTGCCAAACTGCCCACCCCCCCCCCCCCCCCCCCCCCCCTCTCTCCCATGGCGCGATTGCATTCTCTCTGCTGCAATCTCTTTCTTCACATCTGAACTCCCCCCAGTCTCCGCTAGCCTCCGCCCCCAGTCCTGGTTCAATCGCTCCCGCTGCCATGAATCGCCCACGGCCGGCCTTTGCACTTCCGACTGTGGCGGTCCCTCACCTCCGCACCTCCACCCGCCTCCTCTGCTCGCGGAAGCCGGGACATCCTGCCCCATGCTTCTCTGTGTCAATGATGGCAGATATATCAAAACCTCGACCCGGCGTCGGCGGCCCCAAGCGTGGTCCGGAGTTTGGAGGCGCAGATAAGGGGGGAGGCGTCGCTGTCATCACGAAGCCGGATGTCAAGCAGAAGACAAAGAGAAAGGCGAAGACAGAGAAGGAACCGTCGTGGCGTGTCTTGTTACACAATGACGATGTACATACTTTTGAATACGTCACCGGAGCTATCGTCAAGGTCAGTTGACGATGCTCCCCTTTGCCTTCCCTTCACACGTCATGCCTTCCTTTGTCTTCATCAAACCCTGTCAAGGCGCAAAGCAACACGAATATCTAACATCTCTTGTGCCTTCTTTTACTATCCTCATTCTTTTTGATGAGTAGGTAGTTCGCACAGTATCAAGAAAGAAAGCCCATCGCATCACTATGCAAGCGCATGCATCAGGTGTTGCAACGGTAACAACAACATGGAAAGCTCAAGCCGAGGAATACTGCAAAGGCTTACAGATGCAAGGTTTAACAAGCTCCATTGCCCCCGATTCATCATTCACTCACTAGACGACCAGCGCAGAATTGACTGCTCGAAGAAGACAACGGCATCGGAGATTTACCTGACCCCCCCGCCCGATTGATCTTTAAACTATTTTCAAAACGCTACCTGCTCTGCGCCAAAGATATCGATTTTGTGGCCACGTCTTGTTTGTAACAGCATTGTGGAGTGCACTTTGCCATCCCGACGTCTCCTATGCGGCCCAAGAGCTCCATCGGCATCACTTCCTCCATTATGCTCCAATTGATTCTGCAGCACGTTCCGAGGTCTTGCACTACAGCGGTCTGGCTTCTTCGTGGTTCATGCATGACACGACTTTATCTGGTGGCAGGAAGAACAACGATTGGATATGATCGGAGTAAAGTGTTGGTTCAACCAGCGATTTGAATACTCCATATTCAGCCTTGAGTGATTTCCCAGTGGCTGTCTTATCCATCTGTCATCTATAGGGGGGCTGTTATTTAGTAGATGATCTCGAGGCCGAATATCAGGCGCACTGAACCCCTCTCATTGAGGGGTGTGATCGCCTGATACATTGATTCGCGCATCCTTATCTTCCGGAATATTCAGCCATTGATGAGTGCTTTGTACTTCAAGTTGAGAGAACCAGGGATAAAGTCACAGCGCTGGTTGCTGATCAGCCTCATGCTCGTATAGTTTCCCATGAAATTCAAAGGGAGGCACTGAAAAATGTTACCAAACACGAATCCTCCTAACTGCCCTGGCACGGAGTGGAAACATTCCTTTTGGACTGCTTTGGTCTTTCTTAAACAGCCTTCTACCCTATCGAAGGAGATAGGAAGCATCATCAAGACGAAATCACTCTGAGACTCACAATGCTGAAGCGTAATGTTATGACGTAAGCTGTGCCTGCTCAGCATTGCCACTAAAGTAGCCCGCCGGACCCGCATGACCACTCGCAGAAGACTATATTTTTCATCTGCATCAGTATTTAGCCATAGCATAGCTACATGACTACTAAGTTTGCTTGCATTGACAAGGCGTATGGTCACAATGATGCAATTCTGTTGAAAATTCCATGAGAGAAACTGTTAATTTTTTTATGTATTTCCGCTAACAGCTCTCAAAGAAGTTTCACTATTAGTGAAGTTGATACGCAATGTCAGGCATGCTTAAAACAAAAAGCACACGAACATGACAAACAAAAATAGTTTTGACTTCTTTGACTTCTCTCAGTGACGCCCACACTGAGTGTCCACCTTCACCAGGTGTGAAACCCCCAGAGCACCAACAATTATGTAAGCTTCGCATACACATAGGGATAAAATAGGAACGGGGGTCGAAAGAAGTAAATGGGAAACAAAACTATTATGCCTACGATACAGTAGCAGTAATATTTGAGCAGCAGCACGACGTCTGTTACTGCACAACAGCTCTCATCGCAAAAAACAGTTCCGTATTGGGTCAGAAAGGCCTGATGCTTTTGCGCCTTCACGTCAGTATGAATCATCGGGCACTACCGCACTTGCATAATGCTTTTTAAACACAGTGCGAAAAATATCCAGTGAGATGGGCCGGCCGCGGATACAGGAGCGGCCCATGCCTGCTCCTGTCTTGCAGGATACCTTAAACTCAGACAATGCCCATAGCGATTTGCGTCAGTAGGAAACAAATGTTGTTTTTCAATACATGTTGTTGTGCCTTGCCTGTAAAGAAAGCAGTTCAGGGCCCAAGATGCAGCCCTGCAACTACCAGTACCAAAAATATCTACATTTCGGAAAGGAAAAGGTCATATTTCTGAGCCCCAGTACTTCCAAGCTTAGATGCGGGGTTCGCAGAATGCGTACTTGTGTGGTGGGTACAGAACCATCTTTCCTATAACTCATGGCTTGACCTAATTCTCATGCGTGAGATGCATGAATGCATCGCAGATGGGAGGCATCTCAGAGTCCTTTGCAGCACCAGGAATCCAACCTGATACATCGAATGTCGCTGTGTGCTGAGGGCACGAGCTTCTCAATTGACTTCGTGCCCCGGCTTCGTCGGTTTGAAGAAGTCGTGTTTTCTCCTTTCTCAAAGAGCAGCCTCATTCTTCCAGAACTGACCTTTTTCATTGTGCGCAGAGGTCAGCGGCACAAATCCTCATTTGGTTTGCTTCTGTAAAGGGCAACCCCGTGTGAAAAGAATTTTCGGGCTCCTCTAGGGAAGCATTTCTGGGGCGTGAAGGACTTGCCTAACCTCTCTTTGGTGGGAAACCTTACAATCGCCAGTCGGCGAAAGGAGCATGGGGGTTCTTCGAATTTCGACCATTAGAACCGGGCGGGGCAGCGATATTACAGCCCCTGCTCCCTGGAGACATACAGGCACCCCGTCCGTCGGATCAATACCAAGTGTCACGGCTCCATCAACAGAGTCCGCAAAATGTAGTTTGAAAGTCATTCAACTACTCATTATCGTTCTTCTTTTTGGTTATATTTGCCTCCCGTCTCACTTTGTTCGCACTGTATCTTCAAATGCTTCTGTTATAGATGTGTCACACACTGGTCGAAAGATGCTTGGTAAAGTAGCTGATGTTGCTAGTTCCCTTTCTGGTCGTTCAGAGAATTTCGGTGGCGTTGCCATAGTGGCAGCATGCATGAATCGACAAGAAGCGTTGAAACGCGTTTTGCCGACGTGGCTCTCAGTCAGTGGGGTAAAAGAGATTGTTATCGTTGACTGGAACAGTTCTCCTCCATTGAAACCTCTGGTTCACCCAGAGAAAGATTCAAGGCTCAAATTATATCGTGTGAACAAGGAGAGCTCTTGGGTCCTGTCAAGGGCTTATAATTTGGCAATGAACATGACAAGACAGAAATATGTCATTAGAACTGACTGTGACTATGCCTTAGATGGTGATATTCTGAGCGCACATGATCTAAACGAAACAGAAACCGGTTTCTACTCTGGAAATTGGAAAATGGCCCGTAACGAAAACGAAATTCATTTGAATGGGGCCATGATTCTGAAACGGAAAGTGTTTTGGGATGTAGGAGGATATGATGAAAGAATACAAACGTATGGATGGGATGACGAGGATCTCTACACACGGTTAGCTGCATGCAACGTTCAAAAGTTAAACGTCAGCTACGATCACGTTAACCACATCTCTCACGATGATGGTAAACGAGCACAGAAAGGAGTCAAATTTGCACAAGTGCAAATTGACCTGAACCAACTTCTACTTGAAAGATTGCCGCCCTGGTCGAAGAATGACTCGGAAGGACATGGCTCATCTCAGTACCAGGTTGTAGATCGTGATGGAAAAGGCTACTTCGAGCTAGAAGCTGAACACGTTCCGAAATCTTTAAGAAGACAAGTTGACAACGACTTGTATGAAGAGTCATGGGCTCTAGCTCTGGGTAGGCGGCTCGCTGACGACTTTCATGTTCCCTGGGATATTTTGGAGTCAACAGACTCAGAAAACAAGGAGCTTTTGTTACGTAAGCTTTTGCATCTCCAAAGTGACTTAGAATTTCAAAGGAGCTCGGTGAAGGCCGCAGATAATGGGACAGAGGATATCTTGAGATTGCCAGCAGAGGCGAGGATACTTTTCGTTCATTGCATGCATGGCCTGGGAAATCGATTGCGAGCTCTGGGGAGTGCCCTGGCATTCGCAAGGACCAGTAATCGTATTCCTGTCGTTATATGGGAATCTGACGCCCATATTGCAGCTGACTTCAACGCTCTCTTCAACACATCAGACATGGTGGTTCTGAAAAAGTTTATACCTACCTGGCCGCTTCATGATCATCACAAGTACGACCACTCTTGGAATCACTTCCTCTTTTACAACTACATGGAGATGGAACCAAAGGCAGTCAAAGGGGAACTCATTGTCAACGAAAAGAGCAAGCATATATATTACAAAGGAGCCTACATTCTGGAGGCGCCGGAATATACATGGTGGGATGCTGATAATGAGGAATTGAGAAAATTGCAACCAGTACAAAAGGTTACAGAGCGGTTGCAAGAACTCAAAGATGAGGGCCTCTCATCAGCAATTGGCGTTCATATTCGAAACAGGACACTCACCTTTGATATCAAAAATGTCGATTTCAACCAAGAGTACGGGTCAGATGCGGCTACGACGATGGAACACTGGCGCTCGCAGAGTTCCTACAGAAATTTTGTTTCGGAAATGAAGCGCATTATTCGGGAAGAGGACAAAGATGGTCAGTTTTATATCGCAACAGACACATGGGAAGTAATTCCGCGGATGGAAGCACTCTTTCCGGGAAGAATACTAAGCACAAATCGAACATGTGACGATAGGGATTCCGAGTGCGTGAAATACGCAGTAATCGACATGTATGCTTTAAGTAGTACACGGAAGTTGCTCGGCTCAAATTGGAGCAGCTACACGGAGATGGCGGAGCGTCTAGGGGGTCTGAAAGCGAAGTTAGCAGGACTAGATTTCGGGGAAGGAGCAGGGAAGCTATTGAATGGTGAGGCAAGTGAGCACGAAGAGGTTGAAAAATCTGAGGAAGAGGTTTCTGCAGAACTACAGGATAGGCAATTTGACACAGGCAGGGAGTGAATAGGTACGGTATGGAAAGGAGACAAGAGTGGTGATGACGGTCAATACTATTGAATGGCTTTTTATTCCAAATACGGTTGCGTGCACTATTGCTAAGATACTGAATGATCACTTGCCTATTCCGCTATCAGCGATTGCAATGCGTAGTGGAATTTTGATAGAATACAAACTATATTGAAGTGTGCTTCCCAAAAGAACTGATATTGCCTTGGGTAGATTGCTTGAGACACACAGCAATCTCACAAAACTGGGCTTCGTCTCGTTGAAAAATTACGGAAGATGGTTGGTGTTGCATTGAAATTGAATTTTTTCATTCTTTTGAGATTGACCGGTGTTTTGAGTAATCCCACGACCTCAAATTGACCAAGCAAAGTCCCAGGGCACACATCAGTGCAGATTGCAGCACAAGCAGTTGAGGACACCAAGTACAGCTTTTCGGCTCCAGCTTCAAGTACGTCTTGCCGCCACAATTTTCGATTTCCTGCGTTAGGACGTGCACAGCAGTCAGACAACAGTCATAGAGGCTTCGTGAGACTGGAGTCTTGAAGCATTCAAGCGTCACCCTAGAAAGGCTGCACCCGAGAATACATTTTGCTTGCTTTGCATCATTCTCACCTCCAATCAATCGTTTCGGGAATAGGCCAGGCTGGTCGCATTAGAAGAATTCCCTCCGTGTGTAATCATGGCTTCTCAGAAGACAGCGTTTGAAGTCTCGAGCCCATTGGCGAGACCCATGAATTCACGCATTTCTGTGCAACTCCAAGAGAGCCGTGCCAAGCACTTCAGAGTCGCAGGACACAGAAGGTCGCAAGGCAGAATATCGATGCAAATGGAAGTGGACAAAAGCAGTAAGCAAGGAGATAACTCCAAACCCCGGCAGACTCATATTTCCCCGGAATTGGCAAATCAAGCCATTAATGATGCTATTACATACTCAGGTGGGGACGTTGTGGTTATGGCTAGAACCTGTGCAAGTGGATTTTGTGATGCATTACAACAATGCTATGGTTCAGAAGAAATATCAGATGTGTTTATTGCTTGCGGCTCAGGTTTAAACGGCTTAATTGGATTGCAAGTCGCTGTAGAGCTGCAGAAAAAAGGTTATGCACCAGAGGTCTATGCTGCAGAGCAATCTAAGCATGCTAATTTCCGATCTGTCTGCGATGAAGCCGGAATCGACTTGCACGACTTCATTCCCAGCACGCTAGAGTTTTATTATGACATCGTTGTAGATGCCTTGCTTGGAACTGGCTTTGATGGGGGGGACATTCGACAACAGTACTGGACTGTTTACGAGATGCTAATCTCAACTCGGCTTGCGATTGTGAGCCTTGATGTACCATCTGGCTGGGATCTTTCGACGGGTCCAAGAAAAATTGATGTGACAGCAGATTCGTTTATCAAACCCGAAGTGCTAGTGTCTTTAGGAGCACCAAAGCTTGGATCAAAGGTGTTTGCCGGGGGCTACCACTTTATAGCTGGTCGACATCTTCCTCAAAGCTACTTTTTAGAAAAGGGAATCTCTGTTCCGGCTTTTCCCGGCGAGGAGTCAAACTGCGTGCTCATGTCAAGTAACCCGTTTCGCTTCGAAGGTGCTAATGGAGAGACATATGGGCGACCTGGACAATTCAATGCCACGCTCTACACGAAAAACCCTACCCGAGAATGGGTCGATGTTGACAAGCACGATGACCTGTGGGACGAACTAGACTAGCATTAGAGTGTGCTCAGTGAGTTTAAGAGTGGAAATCATTGTCAAGTGCCATACAGGGACTCTAGCTGCGAAAATACGCTATCTACTGGCCAACTTTTTTGCTTAGCGCGACGCGCCACATAATGTAATTCGACGTGGCCTGCGTCAGCGCGGAAGCTGTGACTTTTCCTGTTTGTCGCCATACGAACCCACACGCAACACCGGTGACACAGGCGGAGGCCATGTATCGAACGTTTGGCGGGTCATATCCAAGTTTTGATTTCCCTAAGTGTGCAATGCCGAAGGCACCAGACGCGATGAGTAGTGCAGATATGGACCCGTGGCCTAGGCGTTGCTCCAACATATTCTGCATCATACCCCTAAATATAAGCTCCTCGGTAACGCCGTTCATGAATATGCCTAGGAAAGTGGCGGCTTCTTTGGCCGCGTCTAAACGAGGTGGCGTCTTGACGTCAGCAAACCGGGTTAGGGCGGCAAGTGGAACGGTGATGAGATCAGAGGCAGCACCCACGGCTAGCGCTATCAGCACATCGACTGGGGTTACCTTGAAAGTGTAGCCCAAGTCACGAGCGTGGGCCAGCTTTGAAAAAGGGCGTAGAATTGTGAAGCAGTTCACGACTGTCAAAGCTGCGGTGAGCAAGCCCCAGGCTGTGACCTTTCCAGTCGGTGATATGTCCGATGACAACAGCTTAAATTCCAGTGGCAGCCAGATGCAAAGAACGGTAATCAGGTCGGCCATTTCGGAGCGAAGCGATGAGTGGTCGTCTGGCTTTGTGAGCTGAAGCAGTGACGGGATGAGGATATACGCTATGTAAATTGCCAATATAGGGACTGCGCGGCGGCGACCGTCCATGATGTTGGGTGCACCGGCGAGGCACACTGGAACCATAACTAATAGCACCGTCCAAGCTGCTTGCCATCCATGTCCAAATTCGTTGACAAATGTCGAAGAAGAGTAAGCCAGGAATAAAAGAGTCCAGCACATCGAGGCCGAGGACTCCAGAGTGTGGGCTCGGCCGCCTGGTTCTGGCATTTTTGGAAAGCCGCGGTCAGGCATTGGCTCCATGCTGAAGGATGGAACGAAGATTCTACTCGAACAGTGAGGTAGAACACGGTTGAAGCTGTTTCAAGTGTCTCTGCGGTAGCCGGAAAACGCTCTTGTAGAAAGCAGGGTTGCTTTGAGCACTTTGTCGTTGCTCGCTGCGATTTTTGCGTTTCTAAAAGGTTTACTAGGAAGGTACTTTTGCTGGGCCTTGCACGTGTTCCTAGACGTTAGTCTAGGTGTAAGCAAGAAAAAAGGGGACTCGTTATTACACGTGTTCACTTTTTTTCTGTAAAGTACACGTGTTCACTTCTCCTTATGAGGGGAACGGGGTGTGAGGGGAACGGGGTGGTGCTGAACTTTTCTGTAAAGTAGTAAAGTACACGTGTTCACTTCTCTTTATGAGGGGAACGGGGTGGTGCTGAACATTTCTGTTCCTAGACGTTAGTCTAGGTGTAAGCAAGAAAAAAGGGGACTCGTTATTACACGTGTTCACTTTTTTTCTGTAAAGTACACGTGTTCACTTCTCCTTATGAGCGGAACGGGGTGGTGCTGTCCGCACGGCTGTTCGCAGAAGGGTACCACTCGGTACTGTTCAGGTCATAAGTTGAACCGAAGTCTTGGCGCCAACCCGCCCAAAAGGTTTATACTGTACCCTTCTCACAGGCTCAATGTGGGACGCATAAGAAGTTATGATAAATATGCGAATGCAGTGCGTATTCGAAGAAAATTGCCTTTATTTGGACGGGAGAATTGGTCTCCAAAGTGTGCCGGGGTCAAAGTGGGACGACGAGAAATTTCATGTCTTGCACGCTTCATCTGTAATGGGAGAGACCCAACAAAGCCGACGCTGCCGTGTGCTTGCGGGTCCTCAACAACTCGCCTTCCTCAACCTGCATCCACTGTTTTCGGGCTCTTGGCCATTGCGAAATTGGCAAGTCGTCGCAAACTATGTCTTCGAGAGGCGACACCGCAGACTGCGCTTTCAGACGTTTCTGAGAGTCAATATTTTTTCTGTTTGCAGTATCATTCTCTACATTAAATTCCTGAATGTGATAAACGTCGGGTACGGGCGCTTTTGGAGGATTCCGCCCCTCCAAACGAGCACGAACGGACTGCAAATTGCCAACCGTCGCTGCGTTTCCTGTTGCGAGGAATTTTCTATTAGATTTCTTAGGTGTGGGGTTCTTTGACAGGCATATATTCTTTCTCAGAATGTGCGCAACACATAATCATTATTGAGAGCGACGGAAACCTCTGCAAAAGGCATGAGCAGAAAACTGACCGTTTGTAAGAGCATGTGAATATGTTTCATCAAACGAATATATTTAATTCGTTGCGAAATAGTTTAGCAAAATCATATGCGCGAAACTATGAGGCGCGGCATTATAATTTTGGTGTCACAATTTGAGCCTTGTCACAGATTGAGCCTGTGAGAAGGGTACAGTCACACCCCAATACTGTAATGTATTCAATATTTTTCAGGAATTGCAATAGAAACCTTCGCCGGGCTCAGAACGTTTGTACAAGCAGCACTGTTTGAGCTAAACAGATCGGCTGACGGGAGACATTATGCACGCCCCTGGCAGTTGTTTGCCTGGAGACTTTTCAGATTCAAATACAGTTAATTTGCCTGGAAAGGTTTCACACTGATTCGCTCCTCGTCTGCCCAACTGTGTGTGTACTCGGGGCATGTTAAGACAGGGTGTGTCAAGACAGGCTGTGTCTTAGACAGGGTGTGTCTTAACATGCCCCGAGTTGTTGATGTTGCCTACTGCACGTCACGGCATATCCGTTGAACTGAGCATCTGTCTTCGCTGTGCAAGAAATCAACTATTATTTTGTACTTGAAGTTACCATTGTAATTACTAAAGTTTGCCAATTATCATACTCCTAGTATGATACAGGACTCCTGTACAGTACAAAGATTCATATTCCAGCAGGTGGCCCTTTCTGTATGATACTCTTTGGGCAATCCCGAGCAACATTGCCTTCTTCCGCGCCTTGAAGTGGATCTGACTCGCTCACCTTTGTTTCATTCAGCGGGAGACGGCTTTAAGCTTGTCATTCTTGACATTGTGAGCGCGAAAGACGCGAGGAAAGTATATTGAGGGGTGCTGTAGTTGAAAACGTCCTCTCAAACATGGATCCGTACGGCCAGGAATGGATGAACGCTGAGCACTCGATGGGTACTTCCATCATGGCTGTCGCATTTGACGGCGGCGTGGTAATGGGAGCAGATTCGCGTACGACAACCGGAGCGTACATCGCTAATCGTGTCTCTGACAAAATCACGCCAATGACCGACAAGATCTATTGCTGCCGTTCTGGTTCTGCCGCCGACACGCAGATCATTTCTGATTACGTTCGGTACTACCTTTCCATGCATGATATCGAACTAGGAGAGGATCCAGACGTCGACACGGCGGCAAAGCTTTTCCGGGAATTGTGCTACCACAACAAGGGACAGCTCATGGCCGGGATTATTGTTGCTGGATGGGATAAACACAAGGGCGGCCAGGTTTTTACCATCCCCCTGGGAGGAGCGCTTGTACAACAACCGTTTGCGATCGGTGGATCCGGTTCTTCCTACATCTATGGATACTGCGACTCTAATTTTAAGGAAGGAATGACCAAAGAAGAGTGTATGGAGTTTGTGAAGAACGCTTTGTCGCTGGCAATGGCTCGTGACGGAAGTTCAGGTGGTGTCGTGCGGTTAGTAGTAATCGACAAGGATGGTTCAGAGAGGAAATTCTTCCCGGGCAACAAGCTTCCTGAATTTTGGATGGGATGATTATGAAAACGTTGTAAATGAAACACAGTTTACTTTTAGGGTGCCGCTCGAGTCACGCCCGAAATGCACCCCGATCCTGTGCACGTGAGACGTATACATTCGCTTCTATGACCGTAACCCACAGCATGATGCGGCATGTGTCCTTGTGGCTCTCAAGTAGAATTGAGTTGCACTTGGCCAACACTTTTATGCAAACAGACTGGCATGAGTGGGTGATGCCAGCACTGTTTTGAATACAGCGAAAATATCCCCACCGACATAGTCATTGTCGACAACATTAACAAGATACAGCGTGTCGTGAAGCTCCTTCAACACCTTCCTTGAGGGACTATCCTTTGGGTATAGATCCGCCCAGACGTTTTCCCACACTGCGAAGGCCTCGCTCTTCCAAGCCTTGAATGACTGCGGGTCCACAACCGTGGGTTGGACAATTTCCCGGTCCGGGAACACCCCCCATGTCACGGCGCAAGTAGTCTTAGTCTTCGCATTCGTGCGCAGTTCGTCATTCTTCACCTTTGCGGCATAGATGGTTAACGATGGGATGTCCTTCGCAGCCTCAAAGAGCGCGTCAACGATTTGAGGTTTCGCGAAGAACTCCACGTACGCCTTCTGATAAACATAGCCGCCTGGGCTCCCCCAACCGACAGTCACATCGCTAGAAGGCGCAGCGTTGACTCGCGGTTGAGAATTGATTGTAAGCAAGCCATTCTTGTTTAGCCAGACAAGCGGAGCCGAAATCACTAGGGTCTCGCTTGCCAATTCCTCGGTCTCTGACCACGGCAGGCGTTTGAGTTCACCCTTTTGAAATCGTGTGAATACATCGACAACGTCCTCAAAGTCATTCAGCTCTCCATAACGAGCAGCCGCATCCTTCCTATGTGCCGCAGAGCACCATCCACCGCCTCCCAATAGATGGTACTCTCTGAGGTCGCCGTAGGCAGGAGACCGATTATCCCCCCATCGCCCGTTCGGATACTCGTCCCAGGTTGACGTGCGGTCCAAGTAAGACTTTGGACGGTTTGCCCAGAAGATGGGACGAACATTCTCATTGCGGCGTTTATCAACTGTTGCCGGGCGCCAAGGCAAGGAGCGAATGGACTCAGTCTGAGGGATGAGATCTAATTGATCGATAATTGCCATGGCCGACTTCTCCAGATTCAAAGTGTAGAAGTGAATCCCTGGGGACAGTCCTGACTTTAAGATCCGTCGGCACATGTCCACACCAAGACGGACACCAAACTGCTTGACTGCAACGTCATTGTCTTTTATCTGTTCAATTGCGTCCAAAATGGCTTGTGGAACTTTCGTCTTGCAGAACCCAGTCATGCGTTTGAAGCCCATGTAGTTCTGTATCGGGAGAATTCCGGGGAGAATAGGGATCGTGATACCCTGCTCGCGGCAACTTCGCACAAATTTCAAGTAGCAATCGACGTCATAGAACATCTGCGTGATGATAAAGTCAGCTCCAGCATCGACTTTGTCTTTGAGATGTTTCATTTCGTCTTCAAAGCTCATTTTTCCATCGAGGAAACCAGCCGGGTGACCCTCCGGATAGCCAGCGACACAAATGCCAAAGTAATCGCCATAATTGGCACGAATGAAACGCACAAGGTCCGTGCCATGCTCGAAGCCGTCCTCGCACTTAGTCCACTCCTTACCAGCGGGAGGATCGCCACGAAGCGCAAGAATGTTTCGAATTCCAAGGGCCTTGGCGCCCTCCAGGCCCTCAAGAACGTTTCCGGAGGGCATGTTTGTGCAAGTGAGATGCATCATGACGTCGACGCCGAGATACTTTTGAATGTTTCCAGACAAGCTCAGGGTGAGATCGCTGGTTGAGCCACCGGCCCCCCAAGTGACATCACAGAAGAGCGGTTCAGCGGCGGTCATCCGTTCAACTCTTTGATACAAGTTTGAAACTCCTTGCTCGGTTTTGGGGGGGAAGTACTCGAAGGAAAAGAACGGACGGCCTTCCAATTGACGGTATTGAATCTTGTCGGCTATCTTGGGGAGGTGGCGCAGGTTCGGATCAGCATCGCTGAAGCACGTGGATGTGGCGCCTTCCATACCGTTAGAAGCGGGCATAGATGTTACTGCCTTCTGACGATTTGTCTAGGTCGGTCGGCAATGAAGTGCTGATGAATTCTGCGGACGTGGTAAGGGATGCTGAGAACGAGGAACACTTCAGGGTGAAATGAGGACAGCCGACACTGCAGAGAATACCGTAGGTGCTATTGATGCAATCTTGTTTTAGCGAATGTCCAAAGACTACTGACCGACGAATTCGAGCGGAACAGTCTGAAAATGGAAATCTGGTCCGGTATCTGACCCCTCAAGCTCGCTATCAAGCTTGTGGTCCAGCAAGTTTGGATATTCGTTGATGTTGACATCAACACCGACAAGACATCTGGACAGGAGCACCAGTGGTGCAAGGAGATATGATCGTCGTGAGGTTTGGCGCAATTGCAATTACACACTCCAAATTAATCCCGTGAGCAGCATGCGATGCTTGAACCCTGGAGCACTTCCCGCCAAAAAAGGATTTCTCTCCAAGTGAAAGTTGCACTTTTTTGCATGCCACCACCGTTGCATGCCACCACCTTGCGTGCCATTGCTCCGCCCCATCAAACTCGTAGAGATTGCAAATGGAGCCATCGTGAATACGCCCTTCTCTAAATCAAGCCGCATCCTGATCCAGAATGCATTCCCTGGAGCCCACACCGCCGAACGGGAACGGCCAGGAATCGCATCCAACGGTCCGCGTAGTGTCGGAGATAGATCTTTCTCCTGCGAAACGCTTCATTCTCCCGAAGAAGAAGAAATATGAACCTCAGTATGCGCATGTCTATTTCAGCCGTCTGAAGTCGCTGACAGCGCATGTCCTCAAATCCGCTAAGCTCACTTTCGGAGAAGGGGAAGAAGGAAAGCTTCAGTATTCGAAGAGAATTGCAGATATCGCGTCGAAAGACGAGATGGAGACTGTCGTTGTTGGCGTCATATTCCGTCATATGAAATCGAAACCCAGTATACTGGCACAATACGACGTCCCCTCTCATGAGCTTATACCCGCGCCTCCCGACAGGGCAACCTGTACCTACCCACGCGATGACGACGAAGTCTTCATTGAAGACGAGTACGGGAGATGTGCTTTGGATTTATCGCAACTTGATTCCGCCGTTGCGACCCTCTCTCTAGTGACCGGATTTGTCCTCGCTCTGAAAGGACATGAGGACAGGCGCACCGGGTCTTTCAAAGTGAACGCCATCTCGTACGCAGGCCAGGCGCCTCAAAAGTCCCTGCCCGAATTGCCTGGAGATAAGTTCATCTGCATCACATCCGCACTGTCTTTCGGGAAGGCTGATGGTGATGTTCTTGCAGCAGAGCTACTAATGGAATTTTTACGGGGCAGCGCAGGTGAAGATCCTGAAGGGTCTACATGTGCCAATATCGTGCAACTGATCGTGGCAGGAAATTCAGTCCCGCAGCTGGAAGATACTGAGAGTGGCCCGTCGGCAGTCCTTGCCGCCCATCGACCGTTGAAGAGTGGCGAGAAGGAACGCGTCGCAGCACCTATTGTTGAGGTTGACCGCTTTCTTTCTGTAATTGCCTCGTCGCTACCCGTCGCTGTCATGCCCGGCGAGGCTGATCCCGTCAATTACCTTCTTCCACAGCAGCCGTTTCACCGATGTTTGCTGCCCAGCTCATCTCGGAATGAGAACCTTGCTCGCGTGCCGAACCCGTTTGAATGCTCAGTAGACAAAAGAGTTATTCTTGGGACATCAGGGCAACCGGTCACTGACTTTGCGCTGTACGAAGATCAATCGAGCGTTATGAAGGACGGTAAAGAAGCGGGAAAGTTGCGGCCATCTGGTGAAAAGGTGTTGGACATTCTGACGCTGATGTTGCAGAATCGCCATCTGGCACCAACATGTCCGGACACGCTTGCTTCTTTTCCGTTCTCTGATGGCTCTGATCCCTTTGTCCTGGAGTCAACCCCGCATGTGTTCTTCGCAGGTAACCAACGGGAATACGCGTCTCGATTGGTAAGAACACCACATGTGCAAACCCAGGCTTCATCAGGTAGTTCTATGGACATTGATGGCGTGCAAGGTGGTGAGAAGACTGTGCGGATCGTTTCAGTGCCACGGTTTGACGAGACAGGTCAGGTTGTTCTAGTGAATCTGAGAACATTGGATTGTATAGTTAGGGAGTTCGCATTAACAATGTAAATAAATAGAGCCGACTGCCGTTCGAATAAGATGCTCCAGGGATGCGAATTGTTTTAATTCTGGAGTGCGGCTGTCCGGTGCGACTCGCATTTAAACGTCGAGTCGTTATATTGCGAATGAAGTTCATTCAATGAACCCAACGCTGGGGAGCAGGACTGGCACCAGAGGGTAACAGTTCTAAGAGACTATTGTTCCGTGTTCAAAGTGCGCCGCAACGCTCTCTATTGCTGTCATAGATTCCCCCATCATTCCGTTGCAGTCATTCATTAGCAGGTGATCTCAACAACCCTCAAGAGCTGTTTTCCCGTTCGCGAGGGATGGCCACGGCCCTGTGCTCCCACATTCCTCTACTGTAATAACAAACCAAGGGGAATCAAATACTGTACCGAGCAACCTTGGTGTCAGAAAAGCTACTGTAATAAACCGAAGCTCGTACAGTAAACTGCGACATACTGTACTGCCTCAAAGTACAGTACCTATAGTAACCCCTATTTTGTAGGCTACGGCAGATGCCAGAAGGGTACTTCATGATTCTGATGTAACCGGCTGTGACACCGATCCGTTCGTCCTCATTCATGTGCTCCTTGACATGACCAGGAGATAACTCCTTCACAAACAATTATGTTGTCGGGTTTACGACAGCGAATACTGTCCTCGGGGATCTTTCGCAGCCTGTGCACGGAGGCTCTCAGCCGAAAGATCCCTGCGCGAGATGGCATGAATCGCCCATGCGGGTTGCTGGCGAGGAAGGTCGGCATGATGAATTTGTGGGACGACAACGGAACTAGGCACCCAATTACAGTCCTTTGCGTTGATAGATGCCATGTGCTCCGGATCCGGGAACCAAATACCAACGATCGCAAACAGCGGTGGGGGGTGCAAGTGGGCGCGGGGCCAAAGCGGCCGTACAAGACAAACAAAGCCCATAGGTACCACTGTGCGAAAGCAGGCGTTGAACCAAAACAGAAGCTTTGCGAGTTCATGGTGAACAAGATGTTTACGATTCCTATCGGAACAGAGCTACGAGCGAATCATTTTGAGGTCGGGCAATACATAGATGTTACTGGAACTTCTATCGGGAAGGGAACACAAGGTGTGATGAAGAGGTGGGGATTTGCGGGAGGGCCAGCAAGTCACGGATGCAGCAAAGCGCATAGAAAGGGTGGTTCGATCGGTATGTCTACGAAGCCGGGACGGGTGTTCAAGGGCAAGAAGATGGCGGGTCACATGGGCAATGAAAGGAAGACTGTTCAGAGCTTGATGGTGTATCGCATTGATAACGTCCGGAATCTCATATATTTGCGAGGTGCAGTTCCCGGCAATTCCGGTAACTGGGTGCGAGTTAGGGATGCAGTACGAAAACTGAAGATTGGGATGGAAGCACCCCCGGCATTGAGATTCTCTACAGAAGGTGTCGTAGAATGGAAAAAAGAAGGTGTCGTGGCAGCGCTTTCGTGACTTTTACCGAGGTTCTGTTGGTTCTAACCATGTTGGACAGAGAAGCACCGAAAAAGCACAAGTTGAAGCCTGAGCATAAGCGTTTGCAATAAATCCCAGCGATGTGTGGTTGCCATTTGCTTCCATTGAACGTAACATCATGCTCAGAAAGGATCCTCTCGCCACATCCGTGGTGCGAGAGACATGCAAAAATTACCATGTTTCGAGTTTGCGATATTGAGAAAACACTTTAATGGTCTCGCACTCTTGGAAACCTGCTAACTTCGTACAAAGAGAGAAGTCTTATACGGTCCACCTACCGCAGTTACAGTTATCTTCCTCAGTTTTAACGAGCAAATTGCAGCTGGGACAGTAATCGGTGTAGAGCCGTGTTATGACTTCATACCTTACAGAGGTTCGGGCCCGAACATTTTCAGCCAGATTTTAGACGCCGCCAGAAAGGCATCATTTTTTTTCCTCGGCTACCTTGAGGTACTTTCTGAAGGGTACACTTCTGGTGCAGCAGCTTATAATAAAGTGTACGGTAGATGTCAATCTTGGTGCGCTTTGAGATGCGTACAGGATCGTTGACTTCTAAGACTCGTATGCCTTTCAATCGTTGTTCACAGGCCCTCCTTCCGGGAGCCATGCACAGATCAGCCGGTTCAATAGCATGGTTAGGCCCACTGGTGCCTACTCAGGTCTCGCATCGACGGGGAATATTAAGATATGAGTCCCAAAAGAGTGGACTAGAAAAACGAGGAGTGAAAGCCCTCAAAACGAAAAGATCAATGGCGCCATTTTCAGCTCAACTTGAAACCCCCAAACAACAGAGCATGGCAGAAATACCGGTGACTTGGAGAGGTGAAGGGATGCAAACCGATTCGTTGGTTAGCCAGGTGAAATTTAACGACGCTGGTCTTGTGCCAGCGATTGCGCAACAATGGGACACCGGCGAAGTGCTACTAATGGCGTGGATGAGCGCGGAATCCATTCGGGAAACGATGCGTGGCGGGCGTGCTGTTTACTATTCAAGGTCGCGAAAGGAGCTCTGGCGGAAGGGAGACACTTCGGGACAAATTCAGGTCCTTCGCGACATCCTTTTGGACTGCGATGGAGACACTGTGCTTCTCAAAGTTGATCAGCTTGGGGTAGCATGTCACACTGGAAGACGCTCCTGCTTCTATACGGCATTTCGACCGCCTTCAGGGGAAACCACGATCATCGCCGACGTTATCATGGATCCAAAAGAGCTTTACAAAAAGGATAATTAGATTGCCCGGTCTGTACTTTTGTCTTTGCTCTTGCATTCATTTGGGTCTAACTCCGGTCGAAGGTTTAAATTGTTCATATTCCAACAAGTGGTCGATGCAGTGTGCGAATGAGCTCTCGCAATCATTTCTTGAATTTTTGCTCAGAGAAAAGAACATGCCTATTTACGACGGGATCGTGCTTCATCAATTCAAGCTTGAAAGGCATCGTTTTCGGGTTCTTCCTCTTGACATAGTAGTAGCCGGTGCCCGCATTTGACATCAGTCGAATGAGAATAGTCTTTGCTTTTCCTTTAGCCATTCTCCGTGTCGCAGTTCACAAGCACTTGTCGCGATTCAGGCACGGCAAAGAGAGGAACGAGTTACCGTACGCTTTTGATGGTGCATTAACTCTAAGAGCGCTGATGAACACAGCGTGGGAAGGATCAAGCCCCTGGTTGGATAAATAGGCCGGCACGAGAGTACGAATAAACGGCAACGGTACAGTAGTGGACGGTGGCTGACGCAGATTTCGGTAACACTAAAATTAGTAGTTTTTTATGATGCCTCTGCCGTCAGATGTGTGTCGGCTGCTGTATGTATGATAAGGGATGCCATCGCGCAGCCCCTAAGATCCAACAAAAATGCTCGTCGCTCAACTTGCCCTTCACAGTAGAAGAGCGCCAGTAGAAGAGCGCCGCTTCTCCCGCAAGGCGTTTTCGAGTTCCCGACCAACGTTCGAGTTTGTGAGCTCTCGCTCCCATTCATGCAGGACGGTTGTAGTAGAGCTCGCAAGCGACCGAAGCTTCGAAAGTTTCAAGGGGGCTCTTAGGAGGACCATTGCCACCTGCATACACTAAGTCAAAAATCACCAAACGCAAGATGTTCAACGGCATTTTGTTCCAACAGTCATTGCAGGATCTCGTCAAGGGCATCCGCGCACACCGCCGTGATGAGGAAGAATACATCCGGTCCAAGGTTGCCGAAATTGCAGAAGAATGCCGAGGCGCAGATATGGCAAAGAAGACCACAGCGGTTTTGAAACTCACACATGTATGTTGGCTGTCATCTCCTATTTATCGAGAGATAAGAAGCTTTCTAATTCACCTAAAACGCCAACGCATACTGACAGTTTTCTCATCTCGCACCATTTCCTTGCGCAATTCTCCCACGTAGCTGCAAATGATGGGACATAGTGTAGGGTTTGCATCATTTCACATCGTGGAGGTCATGAGCAGCCCCGTTTTTGCATCCAAGCGCATCGGCTATCTCGCTGCGGCACAGTCTTTCTCGCCTACAACAGATGTACTACTCCTTACAACAAATCAATTCAAGAAGGATCTGACCAACGGCAAACTGCAAGACTGCTCGCAGGCACTCACCTGCTTGGCTAAATTGGTTACTGAAGATCTCGGGCGCGATTTGGAACATGACGTTTCTCTGCTTCTCAACAGTCCACGCCCATATATTCGAAAAAAAGCATTGCTAGTGCTCTTCCGTTTGATCATGGTGCATCCTGATACACTCCCAGTGGTGAGCCAACGCTTCAAAGATCGCCTGGTGGACAGCGATCCTGGGGTAGTGTGTGCGGCAGTGACAGTTACCTGTGAGCTAGCACGAGCATCCCCGAAAAGCTTTTTATCGTTAGCTCCTTTGCTCTACCAATTGCTAACGAACAAAGAAAGCAATAATTGGATGTTGATCAAGATTGTCAAGTTGATGGGTGTGTTGACTCCACTTGAACCTCGGCTCGGGAAGAAACTTGTAGAACCTCTCACAACCTTGATGCGGACGACACGTGCGAAGAGCTTATTGTATGAATGCTGCAGCACAGTAACATCAGGATTAATGGCGCACCCAGAAGCTGTTGAACTCTGTGCTCAGAGATTAGGGGAGTTCATGGATGAAAGCGACCAGAACCTTAAGTATCTTGGTCTCCTATCCATGAAGAAGTTGATCCAAGCACATCCCCACCTAGCTTTAGAGCACAGAGACAATATCCTTGACTGCTTGGACGATGAGGACATTGGGATTCGAATGAGGGCTTTAGAGTTGGTTTCTGAGTTTATCACGAAGCGAACACTCCGAGATATCTCTCGGATCCTACTCAAAAAGCTGCGAAAGGCCAGTGCTGAAGGATTCAGTACGGATGCTGTCATTCTAAACGGGCAAAGAGAGACGTTTTCGGATTCTACGTCTGCCTACATGCCTGTTACAGACCAGGAAGCCCCATATCGCCAGTCTCTAGCTCGGCAACTTTTGAAAGCGGGGGAGTATAAGCGAAGCGCACAAACGGCGAAGTCGGGATACGATATGCTTCTAACCGGCGATGACTTCGCCTGGTACACTACAGCCATACTCGGGGGACTCGCAGAAATTCCGTTGCTGTCAAACGAGATACGTAACAAAATTGGTGACCAGCTTCTTGAGCTAACGTCAAGAGTTGAAGCGTTGCGCCCGATTAGTGTTAAGGTCGCGCTTTCACTGCTTTCTGCAAGAAGAAAGATGTCTGCAGTGCGAGCAATTGTTGATCAGAAAGAGACGGTGTCCGCGGAAGATATGCTTGGTGTTGAGGAAAATGGAGAACCAAAGAATGCCACTGAATCAGACACACAGATAAATGGCATATCGAAGAATCCAGATCAACCGATTGGAGCTTGCTCACAGAGTTCTGATGAAGCTCTTCTTCCCCCTACTCTGGCAGCAAGCAACGCGTGGGTGGTTGGCGAGTACAGTGAACTCATCGAAGATCCTGTTGCAGCAGCCGAAATCCTTATATCATTCCCACGGAAGGGCCTGGACTCCGCAGACCAGGTTCGCATTTTAACAGCCGCTATGAAGGTATATGCAAGCTGTCATGAGGACGACGCCTCCCGTCTTCACAATGTGATCAGGCGTTTCGTTGATTCTTTAGTTGACAATCAGTTTGCTGAAGTGCAAGAGCGCGCATGGATTTTCAAGACTCTCTTGACCGCATGTGTAGAGGGCAGTGGAAATCCTCTTGCCGCTCTCTTTGAAGGAAAGCTAATTCCCGTTGATTACCGTGCCCAATCCAAGATTCCAGTCGGCGGTGGTCTTGACTTGAATCAACCATTGTTAGATACTGGCTCCGACTCTCTCTTTACACACCTGCTGAAAACTATCGAAACTAAAGTTGACGATGGAGATGGCGGGGACGATGACAACCTCTTCCGAGAAGCCGTGTTCGCAAACTCGACTTTGTCGTTTAGCGGTGTGCAGATGGGAAGTTCCAATTCTGCGTCTGGTCATGGTCCACTTCTGGCAGGCTTGCCGGAAGCCGTCGACAGAGGCAACAATCCGTATTACCTCGGTGCAACTTCTCGCTCAAATACTGATGCCAAGACGCAACAAGACCAGCTTTCGATGACAGAAAGCAAATCTCCTCAGCAATTCAAGTATGACATACCTCAGCTCTCTACAGAGGCAGCTGCTGTCCTTGCTGAAGAATCTCCATCTGGTCTCAAGCTAAGCGATGATGAAAGAGAGCTGCTGCAAAGTGAAGTAAAACCAGCTGACGAACGACTGGAAGCCGCATTCAAGGGCGCTTTTGACGGAACTAATAGCAAAGAGACCGGGAAAGATGGAAAGCGGAAGAAGAAGAAGAAGAAGAAGAGCAAGAAAGACCGCGATTCAGCATCACACAAAGGTCGGGACGGGAAGGAGCCCGCAGTAGAAGTTAGCTTGATTGACTTCGAGGATGCATCTGCAACATCAAGCTCGAGAGAAGAGGCTGTTTCAGCAGCGAAACCGAAACATCTCGCGGATGCGCTTCTGCTTTGACTAAGGCAGCAATGTACAGTATGGCTACCTCACTTTACAAAACCTCGCCAAACAGCCTTCGTCATTTGTTTGTAGGGCAATTTCGTTAGAAGTACTAACTTGGTTAGATTGATGTTAAAAATATCATATGAAGCTGACATAAACAGTGCGGATGAAAGGTAAGTCCTTATCCGACAGTGTTAGTTCCATATTTGAACTTATAAGGTCTTCCAGCTTCTTATCCAAGTTGCCCTCAGTCGCTTTTCGAAGATGGGCAGGTGCAGCTGCGTACAATGTCTTGCCTGTGGACGTTCGAAGGAATGGCTTTCTGGATCGAAGCTCAGGGTGCCCGGCAATCGTCTCCAAGAACTCTGCTAGAGTCGACTCGCCCTTCGCTGTAACCTTAACGAGAGCAGGAGCGCCACAAACCGGACAGTCAGGTCGTTTTTCGTTCCTATATGTGTACGTATAAACACCATACCTGCCATTATACATCATGTAGTTGTCCATGTTGTTTGCGATGCTAGTGATCATCTTCACAGCCTCATTTGCACAGGCCGCAGCGACAATAGCATTGCTAGATGCAACTGCTGGAATGATGTTTTTCGCGACCCCTTGCGTGAGGCGGTATGTTACGCCTTTGATACCAAAGTGATCTGCACGTTCCTTGGCCTGCTCAAAAAGCCAATTCGTATGTTCCGGTTTGTCAGTATCCAGCTTACTGTTGCCAAATGGCTTCATCTTGTCCCATAGCACAGCATTAGCGTACTCGATGCAATGCTCCGGTAGTCGTGGTGTGTTTGCTATTGTACACAACGGAAAATTTTTAGCAGGGGGAAAGAGACTTAAAGTGCACTCGAAGCAGCTAGAGAGGGATGGTATAATGATCCTTGCTTGTCCCTGAAAGCCTTCTGTACCACCATCGATAAGCGGAATAATGGTTTCTTGAACGGGATTTCCTTCGTCATCGCGTTCAACAAGACTATAAAGCATAGCGTTGAGCCACCGTCGGGCGTCGATGGAGTCAAGTCCTGCAATGACAAGGTGGAACTGCCTGTAGAAGTCCTTGTCAAAATCCATGATGTTCGCATGATACGGAGTCACATTGGCACCTGGGATGCGATTATTTACGAAATCGGCAGCCACAGTTGCCTTTGGTTCCCCTACGTCTTTTGTTCTGAAAAGAAATTGTCGGTTGAGGTTTGTGAGGTCAATTGTGTCGAGGTCAATGACATGAATATCGCGAAAACCGGAGAGGGCGGCGTTCTTCAGAAGCTCGCAACCTAGTCCACCAGCGCCAATGATCAGGAGTTTGCACTGTGTCCTTAAAAAACTTTCAGTATCTGCTGCCGCCTCTGGCGAGAGTTGCTGTGATAAGGGAGAGGAATGGCGCAGCAGATGGCCGAGCCCGCCCCATAGCGACCCTCCTGGAGACCAACCAGGAACATCTGGTGGTGGTTGCCCTGGTGAAGAAGTAGACTGCATGGATTTGATATCGAACAAGACAATACGACACAACGCTGATCAGATGTATCCCAACTGCTGCACAATGACCAATGTGAGCTCTATTCGAATCTGACGAAAGAGGTTCCGTTGACTTTGTCGAGAATCGCGATCACTCTTCGTTGGTCGCGTGATGGATGCACCTTATCAGTACTCCAGGGAAGATAGCGAATAGTAGGGTCGTTGAACACTTTGCGTTTGCCCTTTGAAGAAAGTTGTTTTGAAAAGAACGCAAGCTCGTGAAGGAAGTAGTGTGATCTTGAGAGTCTCGTGTAAGGCTGCTATCATAACTTTCGGAGAAAGTTACATTACAGTAATATTACAGTAATAGACCCATTCCTTGTGGGCTCGTCTGCTGGACGTCACGTTGAAGTTCGTGGTGTTGACAACAACATGAGCACATTTTGCTCTTGCCACATGCTACCCATCATTACTACCAGTAACTCACCGACATTCCAGTGTTGCTGGGGGGTGATTATTAAAAAAATCGGAAGATGGTAACGGCCGAGATAGTCTTCTTTCATGATTTCTTTGTTTTCTGAAGTTTACTCGAAACCGGAGAACATACAAGTAAGTATCAAGGTTGTTTAACACATGAGGCGGCTAACCAGAATGATTTTCATATCAATGTGTCGCTCTACCTTCAGTTAGTTTTCCCCTGACTGTACAAACCCATCCATCTGATTACGAGAAAGCAGGACTGTTTCTTCACACCGTCCAGGGATCCCAACGTGTTCCAGAAATGATGAACAGTTGCGCGCTCAACCCTCCTCATGATGTTACGATATTCTACCTTGTAAGCGTACTCAAAGCAAATAACTTCTAACGTGTGCTTTGGAAATGGAAACGATTCCCTTCAGCCTGAAGACCTAAGCATTCCACAAAGTCTCTAGCATACTGCAGCGTTTCTTTTTTTAATTGACCTTGGGAAGTGAAGGGGCTTCCGGTCACCCTTTTCTATGCAGTAGTCTAATCTGTATGCCGCTTTTTGAACGATTCATCGCAGTCTTGCCCTGCCGTTCCTTTTGAAATTATTCGAGTGGTGTCGATAGTCTATCCAGAACATTGATGCTCTTTGTCGACCCAGCCCCAAACAGTGGAAAAAATAAAAAAAAGATCTCGACTCGCTCAGCCTAAAGGTCGAATAAAGGTTTATGGGTCCTATGTATTTTTCTTATAACAGGTGGATAGGACAAGCGCCCAGCTTCGGGGTGAAGTGTAGATATATCAACACTTGAAGGCCCGCAAGCGCCGAGCGCCATAATCATGCGATAGAGGACCGGGAAATAAGGGATCAATAAAAGGCGGCTGTGAATATAGACCTCCTAAACTGCTGCGAATGTCGAAAAAAATATGGTAAGTGCTCTAACTTTCCATACGGAGAGAGATAGAGAGAACAGGAAAGTCATTTGCAGAGAGAATTTGTTTTCCAGACGCATTCTGGGCCGCGGGCAAAAAAAGGTGAGCGGAGAGCCTTCATGGAAGGCTGATATCATACCATTTGACTATAGGCGCCAATTGCGAATGCGCCCACCGGGAATCGAACCCGGAACCTCAGCTGACGTCGCTCTGCTCGGGAAATTGAGAAAAATGTTCATTATATACCCCATTGTGCCCCGCATGGGCGGTATGACAAACTGCCCGCATGCCTTATCATGGCGCGGCCTTATCTTGTCCCGCCCAAGTGTGAGTCCTTGAAGCCTGCCCTATGATACTTGTGCGGGACCCCCCAAGTTGAACAAAATTGGAAAAATAAATATAAAAACAAGAAGCATGTGGCATCGGAGAAATCTTTTTGATCGTTTGGAAAACTGACGGTGTCCACGTATCTGCTATTCTGTTCGAAGGAGCCAGAAGGCTCATACATCGGCATTAACGGCATGCTTTGGTTAAGCAATCGGAGCGGTGACCACCTCGGAAAAATCACCCAGTTCTTGCACAGACATTTCACTGGTTGATGCAAATTTACCTTGCAAATTTTATATCTAATTCCTCCTCGGTGACCGAGCAACGGCCTGTGCTGCCCACTTCAAGACTGCAGCACGCCGGGAGCAAGTTCTCTTCTTCGCAATCTGGCGACGGACCGACAAAGACCTTGGTTCAATGTTTGCAACCTGATAATGGTGCACACGGAATGCCAGCGCCTTCTGTCGCCCTCTGAAACGCTCAATCCTCGTCCTTTCCACAGCTTCGGCGAGTCGCTGCGCCACATTTGCTTCCTTTTCTTGTTTGGCTGCCAGCTTCACACTCACTTTTGCCGCTTTCTCCCTCGCCAGCTCCATTGTGGCGTCTGTGGTCAATGTAATCCCAGCTGATGTGTCCACGTAACCACAGCGAAGAACGCGCGGCTGAACCCCTAAACTATCCCTGTACGCAGCTCGTTTGACTTCTAGCATTTCCGCCATTTTTTCAACCGTCACCAAGGACGAGCTATTGCCTGACGAATGCGGACGAGGGACACCCATGAGAGCATGAGCATTCACAGGCCAAATGCCAGCTTTGTTAAATTCCGATGTCACATTAGCTCTCGTAAACGCCTTCCCGTATGCCTCCCTCATTATTTTTAAATAATCAAACAGATCGTAGCTTTTCGATTTAGTAGGGAACGAAAGCTGTTCCACACAACTCCGTATGTGCTCCTTGAAGGGACCGAAAACCCCCACGTCTAGGGGTTGGGTTGTGCCGCTTGTATGAGAAGGTAATGCATACACGACTACGCCAGCCTGTTTCAGTGTGTGCAGCACCTTGTCCCCCATATGGCTCCTGTATCCATCCATACATAAAAGAACTTTTCGTCCATTGGCCGTCAGGTCCCTAACATCCTCAGCAAAATACTGTGCCCATCGCAGAAAGTTTTTGCTGTCCACGCCGGCGACATCTTCTCGAGTTGTTATCAAACTCCCCCGCGGTAGGCAATCGGCAACGGTTTCCATTACAGATGATCCATGATGCTCGACCGTTCGATACTTTAAAGCTTTTCCCTCCACAACAAACAAAGGGCGTCCAACGTCTCCATTGGCGAAAATAACGGGCATGATCGTTACGCGTTGAACATTCTTGAATTCAGGTGATCTTTGAAGGGACTTGTGCCCTCGAGCACTATACGACCTTGTCCTGTTCGACTGTGCGCAATCTTTGCTCGGTGTAGAGCCGCTTTCGTCTAGATTAGCAATACGAGAGGCATCTAAATTATGCACATGAACAAGCCGCTCTAATTCCGCGATGTGGGCCGTCAGATTATTGTCATTGGTTGCCTGCCAGCGAGCTTTTTCCACCTTACAGGCCCTTCCAAAGTTAATTTTGGCACTGTGCCGTTTTGAGAAGAGTGACAAAAACTTGCGTCCCGGACGCCCATCAATAAAGGGAATGGCTTTTTGGCGCTCCTCGGGGAACGAGTGCACCATCAGTTGTACAGCGTCGCCTACATCTGACCGCTTGAGAGGGAAGCCGCTCTGGGAGTATGAAAGGACGAGGTTAACAATGAGCTGCTCTTCACATAACGATAGATATGTACGTGATTTTGTCAACACATTTCGGCGCGAGAATCGATATTGAAACGTTGCCAAAGGGGGTCGTGCCAGTTGAGCAGCCCTGCGCCGAGTTGCACCATGCCTTTCAATCGCAACAATGGCTTGGTTGAAGTAGACCTTTTCTTTTTTTTCGCGGCTTGTCTTTTTGGTCATTGTGTGTTGGGGTGGGTGTGAAGGGAGACGGATCGAGCTCCATGGTTTTAATTTGCACAAAATTATGCACCAAAGTTTGCATCAAGGGGGCAAGAAGGGCGCCAAGTCGGATTCTGCTGTTGAAATGGCGGGAAATGCATTTGTGGTTGATTTACGACACTGTCAGTCGACGGTTTTCACTCAAAAGTTGTCATGTTTATTGGTAAAAGCGGAATCGGAATAAAATTAGGCATACTATTTTTGTTCAAGTGAAGGGTGCTCTGTTCGAGAAAGGGGGGCATGCACGGGTATGGCATCGGCCCCCCCTTGATTAGGGAAAATAAACAACACCCGTCCACATCGTTTGTCATAGCGCCCCGCCTCCCACCACCGCCGCCCCAGGCCGTCCGAGCCCGCCCCTGCCTATCACGGCCCCTCCTGCCGCTCCTGCCGCCCACACCGCTGTGACCGCTCCCGCCCCTGCACGTACCGCCGCCGCACCGCTGTTCTTGTCGATGGAGTGGAGCCGGCCACTCTGTACAGTATCTATACAGTACCTGTACAGTACCGGACACCACTCTATTTTCGCCTTTCGGCTCGTGGCTTTCAGCCACGAGCGCCGCCGTCCGATTATAGTGCATTCATTGGCAATTGAAAGGTGAATTTGGACAAGGGGGCTTTTCGGTTGGAACGTACGACAACTTAGCAGAAAGTGGAGAACAAGTGGACCATTTCAGCCGCACAAGCCAAGTCAGGATGATTTGGCAACAAGTCAGCGCCAAGCCACACGCCATGATTTGGAATGATTCTTCGTTCGCGTAATGGAAACTTGGCAAAACAAAAAATCAGCACCAAGTCACACTATGACTTGGGAATGATTCTTCATTCGCGTAATGAAAACTTGGCAAAAATTGAATCAGCACCAAGTCACACGCAATGGCTTGGCACCCCCACTATGACTTGGAAATGATTCTTCATTCGCGTCATGGAACTTGGCAGAAAAGGAAATTTGGCCACTGTCCGAAAACAGGGCTGTATAAGAGAGGCACGTCAAAACTCTCTCACCACTCTTCTCTCTTCCTCAAGTCGTCGCTTGTTCTCGTTTCACAACTCAACAAGCTCCAGACGGATCATCGTCACGGCCGGCTCTCAACAAAATCGCGCATTATGCCTAATGCTGAAGAAGTCCAATCTTCGTCCGGATCCACAGGCATCTCTGGTCCAGTACCAACTTTGGAAAACCAGCCTTCTACCAGTCGCCCTCCGTCTGCCGCTCTCGTCAACAAGGTCAACTCATTGGAAACGCAGGTCGCCCAGATT